CTTTGCAAAAGCTAGTTTAGTTGTCAAAAGCCAGTCCATTTACTTTAAAAAAATTGTTATAGATACTAAAGGTTATTATTATACAGCTTCTGCGTTAAGTACTTGAATAACAAAAATCCTTAGTAGTGATTAATTTATATTTCAGTATTTATTTATTAGCAACTATGTGAATGAACAAACATGAAAAAAAATTAAACTTAGGAAATAATCCAAGTAATAAACAAAAATAAAACATGAAATGAAAACTTACATAACAAAATTATTCAATTCTTTTAAATAATAAAAATTTTAATAAATCACTTTCAATAAAACAATGAACTTATGTGCTAATTATTATTACTAACGACGAATTAATTTAGATAAATTATCTACGTTTCGCTTAAAAAAAGTTCTATTGACCTCAATTTATTAGAGAAGACTTTCATTTTTCTTAAGTGTATAAGTAAATGATGTGTACAAATGTTTATTTCCAAAAAAACATTCTTCTCAGGGGTGTCTGTTTTACGAATGAGTAAGTAGATTCTAATGAAAGTGACAATTTCAATTGTAATTTAAAAACACATTTGAGTTTGAGATTGAGCTATCTGTTCAAGCAGTCTAAATGCGTGGTTCAATTAACAGGTTGGCTACAAAATGACAACTTTAATACTTCACATGGAGTAAATTCTAATGACAAATAACCTTATGTAATATAAATAAGGAAAAGAATACAAATTGCTTCTCTTGGACATAGCCATTTGTCCATAGTGTTATTATGATTTACGATCCTTATATTCAGCTCATTCTTCCCTAACACCGTAATGACAAATTGTATTAGTACGAAACAATACGTAATTTATTATATATACTGTATGTTCCTAAGTTGGAATAAGAACTGCACGACTAGCGGTTGATCTATGAGCGGTTACACTTGCGATTTATAGGCGATTGCATCGATGCAAACACGTGACTGCATTGATGCACTTGGTACTTGGTGCAACGGGCTGGTATCCGCAACTCGACGACAAAGCGCCTATTTTGCGTGTGGTGCATTGATGCATTCGCCTATAATGCCAAGTATAGCGATGAAATCGCGCTTTTGTATCAATGCAGTCGCGCGCTTGCATCGCTGCTTAAAATAGCGCGCATGTGTAAAGGTAGACCATTAGCGACTGCATCGCGTTTGCATCGCGCTTGCATCGCGTTTGCATCGCTGCTAAAAGTCCCCGTGTAACCACTCTAAGGTGCTAATAGATGGACTACACGTCTGCAGTTAACGCGTGCGGTCGTGATCAGTCAAGACTTCAAATGCGTACAATCGTAATATCTTCCATTTCGACATCTACAAATACACTGAGCTCTTAAAATAATATCGACTGCATGCAGTTGTACGTATCTACGTACGTACTCTAGTAGCCTTAGAGCTATGACACACGATGCGTTGGGTCGGCGGCGTTGCTACGCATGAGCGGTGACCGCTGCGTTGTGCCACATATAATTAGAACTAAATGCCTTATTGTACGTTGAAACGACTCGCGGCGACGGCTAGGAGACGAAGCGGGGAGGGGTATCCTGTGCATAAGTACGGCGTTACGTTGCAATATCGCATTGCTCAACGATCGATTATGGCGTAGGTATGTGTAAAAATAAAATACTGCCCATGTAACTTTCGTCCAGGGAAGTATTGCCACCTTACCTATTTCTGCCGCCGAGCAGTAATATTAGCATTACTGTGTTCCGGTTTTGAAGGGTAAGGGTGCTGGTGAAATTACAGGCTCATGGGACATGTCAACTTATAATTATGTCTCGGGGTCACGGGCGCAGTGGTAGCGCCCATCAGATCTTTGCGATTTAAAGCTCTGAGTGACATTGCAACCATTACGGACAGGCGTATAGCTTACCATCAGGCGCACGACTTGTTCGTTCCGTCACTTGATATCATAGAAAGAACAGTTCAAAATATTGACTGAGTGTAAAAGTACTGCCTAAAAATTATTTCCCCACACATAGAAGTAATAACGCCGACCTACCACTTCATAGCACCACAGTCTAACCAATTTAGCACTATGTAGCACGATAAGCAACACGATTGAAGCTTAGCAAGTTGCACTCTGATCTAATAAGGCCACATATGCCAAATAATAACTTTTCAGGAGAAAGGTTTAAACATTCAAACGAATTCGTCGATAAATTGGTTTATGCTTAAATATGAGAGTTTTAAAATGTTCCTATATACATAATTTGTTTTGTTTACGACTTTCATGTAATTCGAGCACTTTTGACGTATGCTCACATGTGCGGTTATTGCCTATACCAACACACATATCTAATTTTTTATATATTGTATAGTGTTTTATTATTAACCGACTTAAAAAAGGAGGAGGTTCTCAATTCGCCTGTATTTTTTGTGTGTATGGTAAGCTAATACTCCGACATTTTTGTGAACTGATTTCGATAATTATATTTATATTCGTTAGGGTAGGGTTCAAATTGGGTTATTTCCGTCTAATTCCCTACAACTGATCCACCGTCAGTTTTAAGTCCGAACTGATCCCCTCTATATTATGCAACTCCCAGCGTATCCCCTCATTGTATTTGTAAAGTAAGTACAGTCAAGAGAATAAGAAGTTTTAAAATCTTTATTCATTCATTGAGCAATCGTGATCAAATGTTATATTATCACAGACAATAAATGTTTTTTGTGACAGGTGTTAACATTGACATGTCATTGGTAAATCACAAGTAACAAAAAATCAGTCTAAAGAAATGTAATTTAAAAGCTAAGTTTAATGTTATAATTATCACACACAATCAAATTTTTTTGTCATAGGTCATTACTGATGTATACATTATACATACACTTTGCATATATTCTATTGTTGACTGTACCACAGTACCTACCGAAAATAAGATAAGTAGCAAGGTAACAGGTGGGAATAAACCTGTCCCCTGCACTCTGGATCCGGTAGAAATAGAAAATAATATAAAATAAACCGGATCCACCAGGGATCGGTTTTAGGGAATCAGAGGGAAAAACTCTTCGTTAAAGAAAATCCACTCATCCGTAGAACAAAGATCTATGTGCAAGACTACTTGTTCTCAAGACATTCTTCGCTGTGGATGGCAGATCGATCGTTGGTCTATTTTATATTTCCGAAACGAAACAAGATATATAAATTCTCAAAACACCTTTACATAGGCCCTAGTTTGGATAACGAAATTATGTATTTATTCTCTTTTCCCTATATAATCACATCGGACTTTGTTCTTCGGATGAGTCGAAATATTTCTCCTGTAAGGGTAGGAAATTTTTGAATGAATCCGGTTTTTTAGGATTTCACCCACTTTCCGTTAACCGATTTGAAAATAAATTTACTAATAGATTTACTTACAATAAAAAGCGCAGAAGAAAACCTTTGAGGTCGACTTTTTATAAAAAACTTATAATACCACTTTTTAAAATAACGATTTTAATTTTTCAGCTTCGGCATCATTGAAAAATGACTTATCTAAGGAGTTAGAAAGAAGTAGCAGATCCACTTATATAGGTCTGCTAAAGGCAGATCTAGAACTTGAGGACTGGACTACGGACAAGTCCTGCTACAACCAACTCCAGACGACCTTCGATAACGCCCTCAATTTCACACTATGGGCTACTTGGAGTAAGTACTTGCTTTCTTTACCTTCATAATTTACACTTACCCCATTGAGGGGTTGAGAGGGTTTCCATTAAATAGTAATTTTAAAATGCAACCAAAGACGTCATCAATTTTAAACGCTCAGTCGCAAGATATTCGCAGTCTTAGTAATTTTGAACTCAACATTTTTAACGAAACAATTTGAGCTTATGTGGCTGATTGTCTCTGTCACGCAAATCAATGTTTCTTTTCCGTGGTTTTGACTGCCTTCGTGGCCGAACGGTTGTCACGCAGAGGGCCCGGGTTCGATTCCCGAGCCGGGAATTTGAGCATTTATTTATCTCGTAAGTTTGGGCTGTCTTGTGTGTTTGTGGCACCCGCGACACGTTTTTTTGTTTTGTACGTTTATTGTGGGTCAACGCCTTTTTTTTCCCGATGTACAACAACGGTCAACGACAGTCAACCTAGGAGCGTGTAACTGTCCCGAACTATCGGGAAAATAATAAAGAAAAGCCTATTTTAACCATCTTCAAAAAAAGGACGATGTTCTCATTTCCACTTCATTTTTTTTTATATGTATGTTAAGCGATAACGCATTTGTTAATCGATTTTGATGATTGAATCCCTTTTCACGTACCTTCCGGTAACCGATTTCAGTACGAACTTTTGAGGTCAGTTTTTTCCTTATTTTAGCAATCACAGAAACATCATTAAGGACAAGTCTAATAGGGTCACTGCGTATTCTCATTTTCATACCAATGGATTAGTTAAACAAGTACGTATGTCTTTTACATAGAAGCAAATATGCCATATAAACAATGACGGTAACGGCAACAAACCAAGGTGCAATTGCGAGTTGCTCAGAAATGTAACTAAATGTTATTGACTTACCGTGATTTTATGATTAGACTAAGTTTGCTAATGATGATATAATATAAATGTTCAATATTGATATGCATTATGTGTAATTGATAAAATCATATCATATTATGATAAAATTGTCGATATTAACTGTTAAATGACAGCTTCCTTGCATATGTTGTGAAGGTTATAACAAGGTATTTCGCACTTAATGGATACTACGGAAGAAAAAACCTTGATTGCTAACAGAAGCGCTGTCGCCAAAACTCACACATTCACAATTTGAAACATTATGAAAATTGATAACGATTAGTCGTAATTTCTAATTTAAAATTCTGGATTAGTTAGCTTAGTTGGAATAGCGTCTGCCACGGCCTATAATTATAACAAACTAGTGGAATCATTTCACATAAAATAATTGAATATCAATTCAATACAAAATAAAATTCTGGATTGTTAAAGTAAATTAAACTTTATCCTGCAAATTACGACGTTTTTATTTTATATTGAAATTTCAATCAATAGGCTGCCATCTAGCGACCAATAACTTAACGACGGCGAATTCGAGATGTTTACTTAGTACTTCAGAAATGAAGTGACCATATTGTATCGCTACAAGGTTTACATTCAAAGCGAAATTGCGGACTAAACTCAAGTATTTGCGTACTACACACGTGCCACACACACTAAGCACTTTTACCTACTTTTTTCTTTTTAATGCTAAGAACCTGTTTCCTTTATTGTACTGCAATGGCATCGTCACGCGACCTTGAGCGTTTCACTCGGGAGTTATAATCTGAAAATGTCACTACTTCAGAGTTATTATGTAATATACATATGTGTTTAACTTGGAAATAAACAGTTTTAAATTTTTAATTTCTTTTTTACTAATGACCTAGTAGGTTAAAGACTAACTTTATTTATTATTCTATACAGTACATTTATTTTCACGGTATCGACTTGAGTTGATCAGAAAAAGCTTTATTTTTGTGTTTTTCGCTCTTATTGCGTGTACATAAATGTTTTTAAATACTGAAAACTTTATAATAAAACTTTTTTTCGTCACAAGTGAAGGGCCGAACAAGTCGTGCGCCTGATGGTAAGGTCATGCCTGTCCATAACAATTGCAGTGCCACTCGAAAGCTTTAAACCGCAAAGATCTGAGTGGCACTGCCACTGCGCCCGACACCCTGAAACATAAGTTGACAAGTCCCATATGCCTGTAATTTCACCAACTCAGTGTCACTTACATAAACGGCAATGTCTGTAATATTACCCAACAACAATTAATTACGAATTGTGTGCGAAAATAAAACACTGCTCAAATATCATCATCATCAACCCACCCAAGGGCACGAGTCTCCTCTCAAGCGAGGGTTTGAAGAGTTCACCCAGGGAAGTACTGCCACCTTACCTATTGCTGCCGCCAAGCAGTACTGTGAGCATTACTGCGTTTCAGCTTCGAAGGGTAAGGGTGCTGGTGAAATTACAGACACAGCGCAGTGGCCCTAAGATCTTTGCGATCTAAAGCTCTGAGTTGGCATTGCAACTGTTATAGACAGGCGTGTAGCTTCACTAGACACACAACTTGTTCGTCCGGTCACTTGATATTATAAAAATAATAACAATAAAAGCGAGAAAGACATGAAGTTAAAACTTATTTTGACCGATTCTAGCGGATTCCGCGTTAATAAATGTGATAACACTCTAAGTAAAGAAACACGAGTAACCTATTTGTATGTCAGGCGCACATCAAGCCGGAAACTTTGGACTTTGGGCCGTTATAGCACGCGGCATAAAATTGTTACATGACACGCTCATGACCCTGTATTATAAAATATACTGGTGGTAGGGTGGAAGCCTGCCTTTACATTATAAAAAGCTATGTCGAATTCTAGAATTAAAGATAGGAAGGGCTAGTGCAATCTCTGTAACAATACATTTTACCCTTTATGTCATGACATCGAGTATATAAATACAGGCGAAATAGGGGCCATCCGTCTCTGGCAACTCATCAGACAAATGGGCCTTATATCATTTCAATATCAACTCTCGTTTACACTGGTATCACAAATTAGGAAGCTGAAATAGTACAGCGCCAACAACTGACCTATGTGTACGTCCACAATACCAAACGTCCACGTCCCAAAAATATTCTGTATTTATCGTAATAAAGATAATATCTCTAGCTATGGACGGGCTGCTCCATTCGGTGGTGTGGGAAAAACAGCAAAACATCTAATTACAAAACAAACGGAATCACATTTCATCGGTAATTAGTTATTAAATATGTAATTTATCAATTTTCGTACACTATAGCAAAGCTCAAGTTAAACTGCGGAGCGCAGTTGTCACAGTAATGATATGGCAGAATAGTTTTCAAACAAATTAAAGGACATTTCGGATTACTTCTGGTTATATACTCGATGTGTCATGACATTAAGAACTTACTAAATTCAATAAATTCAAATAAATTCAAATCTGGTAGTATTTCTGACCCCACCAATTTCAGACCTATATCAATACTACCAACTCTCAGTAAAATATTTGAAAAAATTATTCTAAATCAGATGTGTGCACATTTTTATAGTAATAATTTAATGTCTCCTAAACAATTTAGTTTCACTCGGGGTCGCTCTACAACCGACGCTGGTGTAGAGTTGATTAATCATATATTTGATGCATGGGAAGTCTCACATGATGCTATTGGTGTATTCTGTGACCTTTCCAAGGCTTTTGATTGTGTGCACCATGATACACTGGTCAGGAAACTTCGCCATTATGGTGTGGCGGGACGTGATCTCGACCTTCTTAAATCGTATTTGCGTGGTAGGGTACAGAGGGTCGATGTTAACGGTACGAGATCGTCAGGGTCTGTAATTAGCATGGGTGTCCCTCAAGGTTCAATTCTAGGCCCATTTTTGTTTTTAGTTTATATTAATGATTTACCTAGCCTTATGGAGGGTATAAAACATGAGATAGTATTGTTTGCTGATGATACTTCCTTATTATTTAAAGTTAAAAGGCACCAATGTTCCTATGACGATGTGAACAATGCTATATCTAAAGTAGTTGATTGGTTTGCTGTTAATAACCTACTTCTTAATGAGAAAAAAACAAATTGTGTGAAATTTACATTACCCAATGTTAGAGAGACGGTTACAAACATTGTAGTTAGAAACGAAAAATTGAATCTTGTGGATACAGTTGTATTTCTAGGTATAACGTTAGATGCTAAATTGCAATGGGGTCCCCATATAAGTAAGTTGTCAAAACGGCTCAGCTCTGCAGTGTACGCGATTAAAAAAATAAGGAAACTTTCAGACGTCGAAACCGCTAGATTGGTTTACTTCAGCTACTTTTACAGTCTAATGACATACGGCATTTTGCTTTGGGGTAATGCCGCCGATATCAATAGAATCTTTGTCCTGCAGAAACGTGCAGTTAGGGCAATTTACAATCTGGGCCCCAAAGTATCTTTGAGAGATAAGTTTAAGGAAATTAACATTCTTACACTAGCCTCACAATACATTTATGAAAATATAATTTATGTTAAAAGGAATAGTAATTTCTTTATGAAAAATAGTGACAGACATAACATTAATACGAGGAATAAAAATAAACTAGCTTTTCTTGATAGTCGTCTTCACAAAGTCAAACAATCATTTAAGGGGCAATGTATACGCTTCTATAACAAGATTCCGGTTGATATACAAAATTTGCCTTTCACGAAGTTTAAAACTATAGTGAAACAAAAACTTTATACTAAAGGTTATTATACAACTTCTGCGTACTTGGATGACAAAAATCCGTGGTAGTAACCCGTTTAGCTCATGGAGGTAGTCTCAATCTGATGTTTCAAATAAAAAAATATTGTAAATGTTATTTACAAAGAGCAACCCCTAGAGTTTCTTGCTCATTCTTCTCAGGGGAATCTGCCTTACGAATGAGCGGTAGAGTTTAACCATTGTGACGCTTTCAAGTGTAATAATGCTTACCTATGAAATAAAGATTATTTTGAATTTGAATTTGAATTTGAATTACTAAGTAAAGCAAAAGACCATAAACGTTGATTACCGAATACAATAAAAAAAAATTGTCGTTCCCGCTTATTACCATAATTAGGACGGCTTTATACATTTCCATGAACAATTTAAAAAAATCTCAATATACATATACTTATACACAGTCAGAATTGCTTGCATAATACTTTTGAAAACATTATTAATATCGAGTTCTTAGGTTTTCGCGATTGTTACACATAGGAAATGAAACTATTTTTCCGGATTTAAATCGCGTATATTTGTTTTTTCTGACTGACAGTCAACCGTGACCATGGGACCTGTAAAGGGCCCGAAACGTCGGTTTGTTTAAAAAAACAAATGTACGCGATTTAAATCCGGAAAAATAATTTCATTTCCTATGACATTATTAATAATAAATTTTTCGAAACACAAAATATGGCTAGGTGATGTACAATATAATTATTTCAACTATTTAATATTTTCGTAACACGCAAAAGGAACCTATTTAATAAAAAAATTATATGCAAATTTATACACAACGTGATGGATATACATGACAACTCAGGTCAGAATTAGAAGAGTAAATTTACCTAAAGCTTGAGTTAGCACATAGATTAGATAATACCGCATCCTAGGTGTAATAAGACTACATCAATGCAAAATCATTCCCAAAATGTGACTACATTTTTCGAAGAATTCGTAGTTTATCTACAAAATGAAATTTATAATCTACGACTTTTTGTGCATAATTTGTTTTATATAGTCCTTATTATTTTTATGACTTTCTTGTGATAAAAGCACTTTTGATGTATGATCACATGTGGCTTTTTTATACTAAGAGTCTAATCCTATAGTATCTCGGAATAATTATAGGTATTGTATCTTATTTTATAATTTTGATGAGTAACTATAAATTCCTTTACTACAGTTCGAAATTACTAAGACATTTCTTATTTTTTATATTAGGTACAGGTACTGATTACCATACTGATTCAATAGTTTCTTATGTATTTATCTTTTGCCTTTAATTTATGTATTTATCTATTTTATTTTTGAGGGTACAAATAACTAGTAAAACTAGGATTTTTAAATTATATGAACAAAATTGGGTCCCCGCGGCAAGGTGCCCAAGATACTGGCAGCATTCCCTCTTGGTATTGCAATGCTAATTCGTTGGGCAAGGTAGCTGCCGACCCTTGGGTTTCCCAGACAGTTAATTAATTTTTTCGATAAAACTTTGCATATGAAGATGAAGGGCACTGGGACCCCACGGGCCAAGGGTTTCGACTCCAAAGGCTGTAAATAGGTAGTCGGAGCCGAGATCCTGATACTTATTACTTTTTATTATTTACACATTATAGAAGCAAAACAACATAACGTAAACTGGCTCGCTTTAGTAATAAAAAATTAATTAGATAATACTTTCTTAACGTCCGCACAGCGAGTGTTAAACAAATCAAAATCGTAAAGAGCAGAAACTTTGTTAATATTATTGTTCGCACGCATATAAATGAATTCCGTTTGTAATTTTATAAAGCGACAGGAAAATTAATTAGTGACTCGTTACGTAAATGCTTAGCTAACCCTTAAGTGAATCTCATACAGAAGCTCAGGGCAGTCGACGATATTGGTGGTAATTTTAATAAGATAGTTTATGTCTGCTATTCCACGTCGCAATTCAAGGGAAAGTATAATGGTGTCTTTCGCAGATATCTAAATAATTTTAGACTGAAAACATAAGGACCAACTGTGAGAAAACTACTTTATTCGTAAGTTTCCGACGTTTTTTGAGATTGACATTGGATGCTGATAAACAATAACGTGTCAACCAATATGATCATACTTAGTTTTGCAAAACTAGCATCACCTAAAGATTTTTCCATTGTTTTTGCTAGTCTGATTTTTTTTCCTGAAATTTACTTGTAAAATGAAAACTTTTGCTGTTGTCACCTGAGGAATGATGAATTGTTGTGATTTATACTATAATTCCCCAACAACAACAAGCACAACGAAACTTTGTTGTTGATGGACGAGCAAACAAAGTTTGGTAAATCTTACACATGACGCGTTAACAATAGGTCGATAGGTAGCCTATCGCTTGCCCGCCAAATGTGGCCACCTGTACAATATAAACACAATTGTTCGACGTACTCGACCGAGTCGACTATTCGCTTACCGAGGTAGCGGTAAGCGTATAAGGCACAATTTATATTGCAGCGGAATGGAAGCGGATTTTTGTAACGATATTGTACATAGCATAACAAACTTTATGGTCAATTGTGTAAAGTGCAAACTAGATACGATCCAAAATCTTTCGCGGAGTGCGCGAGAATTCCGCCGAAAATTTTGCTAGTATCCAGTTTGTACGTTACACTTGACAATAAAGTTCTTAACAAAAATCCGCTTCCATTCGTTTCCGCCGCAATATAAATTGACCCTAAAGCGCAGGCCACACCGCGAACTAAGCTACCCGAGCTAAGTCGCGTAGTTGGTTGCATACAGCTACGGCTACGCGAGCTAAGCCAACTTAGCTTAGCTTCAATCGCAGTGTGGCCTCCGCTTAAACAGCGAGTCGACTGCGCCTCGCTTGGTAAGTCGAAGTAGTCTACCGAAGGCGGCAGTCAACCCTCTTTAAACACCCTTTTACGTACTGACATCATAGTGGTGCACTAATATTAGGGGTAACATTGATACTACCCCTGGGCAATCGGCGAGAACGTTATGCCGATTGGTAAATCGTTTCACCGCGATGGCAATGATTACAGTGTACTTACCATCCATACGATAAAAAGAAAATAGTGGTGCCAAGGCAAATACACTTCCAACTTTATACACTTTTTGCGGCGTATGCTATAGTTTGTGTCTCAAACACATAAATTGACAAATGCGCCACAAAACTTGATTTTGTGCTCAGAAATTTCGTTAAAATATATTGATAAGATACTCCAGATCATCATCGTGAAGCATACGTAGCACTGCTTGCACCGGATGCCTCTGAAAAGAGGCTGTAGTCCACCGCGACAGCCCAATGCGCATTGAGGACTTTACACAACTTGGCCGTTTCGCAATCCTTGTGTCAATCAATCAGAACTGCAGATCCTCTTGAATGCTAAATACACGTTACACCTCTCTTACATACGAGGCAACAGTTCAGTCAAACACTAATCATTTGACATATAATATTGATTTCCAGTTGTAGACTCTATACAACTCCCAGTGGGTGCGCTCTATGGTTCAAAATATCATCTCGGAAACTACGACGAATGTCTCAAACCTGTGTGGATCCCAAATCTTGGGCTCAAGACGAAGTATTGTCTGGCTGATGTCAGGTTGACGAATGCTACGCCTTCGAAGTGGAAGGATGAACTGGACCCGAGGGAATCGGCTGAAAAGTACATAAGTGTAAGTTTTGAAGTTTGGAAAGGAAGTTAAATCTGCTAAAGATGTTAACTATAAGGAGTGGAGACTCTAGGGAGGGAGGCTTTTTAAGTAACAATAACAGTATTTGAAAAGCTGATACGGACTGTTCAGATAGAGAGAAAATGAATCGTACAGCATGGCGTTTTCTTGGAGAGTTTATCGAGGGACGAACATATTTACCCAATAAAGATGAACGTTGAATACAATGACTGTTTCTGTTTGAGGTTGCCTGCATTGAGTATGTAGATACTTGAACACTCGAAGAATAAATTTAATTTTCCAAGAAGGATGAAAATGATTAAACTCTTGAGATATAAATTGATTTACTAAGCTCTAAAAATAATTGAAATTAAATCATTAGCCTACATTATTTTTCAAAATGGATTTAATATTTTACTTTATTTCTTTTTCTAGACTTTAACAAAACACTCGCGAGTTTTAACTACGATCACGTGGGGAGTATGCATACCGGCAGTCTGTCAACCTCAATCTGTCTCTAAGCTCTTTAGGATTCTGCTGCAAAATAGTCATCTTCAGCCAATGGCCGCAGATGCTGTAATAACTGTTGATAAGTGTGAGGAAACCGGTGCGGAATATGTGTATCCTTTGGGTGTTCGTGTTTTTTGGTAAGGAAAGTTGATGCGTAATACAATGGTGTAGATTTTCTTATTTTAAACCGATAATTTCTTAAGTGGGCTATAAGAACCCCCGAGGGTCAACTCCAATCACCCAAGTCAGCAATAAATCTGCTTGACGGCAGAAATAGATAAGGTGGTAGTACTTCCCTAGACGCACATAAAGAGGTCTACTGCTATTAACCCTTCGAGGAGTTTCTTAAGCTGAATAAAGTGACATTTGGAAGTGTTCAAGGATGCAAGCGTTTATGATTTCCTGACAATTGTGGAAGACAGACACAGGGACAATGGCCTACTAAGGCACTAATCCACCCTTCTTTGAAGTTTGCGAACTCTTTATTATAGTTATATAAGCCATTTACTTTATTTATTGAGTTTACGATGATCGTGACATTTTTAACATTTATATTGTTTAATTGGTTTTCAGGTACCTTTTAATATCGTTGTTCGTGACAGCTCTCTTTTCTACTTACTACATGGCTAAACTGGGCAACAAACCAGCAGATAATTTAGGTAAATCACAAATGATTGTTGAGTAATTTTAAAACTAATGGAAGAGTCAGTTTTGCGTTTACCAATATCCATTGTTTAATAGGCAGGTACATCCAAAAAAGTCCGACGTTAAGTGGTTTTATTTTTTAATGGTGGAAATAAAATTATTTATTACGGGCCGCTAAAAACTCCAGATGCCAAATTTAAGAAAAACTAATCTTCCTCCTTCGATCATTGTTGAGAATCGTGACTTTGAGTATGTATACCGTCATTAAATCTTCTCCACTCCTCTCTGTCTTCGGCCAGGTGATTTTACATTCACCGGTACTGCCAGGTTTTCAGCCACCTGGTCACACCGTCGTTTCGAACTCCGTTCCCTATGTCGCTTGCCCTCAATTTGGCCCGCAACAATTAGTTTTCCAAAATTGTCAGCGCTTCTGCATGCGATGTGGCCAAAGATTGTAGAATGCGAAGTAAACAGACGGAGGGTAAACATTTGTGATTTTTCAGCAGCAATTCCTTAAGTAGATACGGAGACATTCCTATGATGTGCAGTCCAGGGAATCCTTAGAAAAATTAATAGTGGATTTATTTTCATTTTGTTGCCACGTCTCTACTTGCGGATTCTAAGACACCTGTATGCATTTTCCAGCATCAAAAATTGCCAAGTCATTTTGCATAAAGAAGAACGGTCTCGACCTAGTAAAGAAGATTGAAGATGACATTCCCGTTGTTCACGGCATGAGAACTTTGACTGCTTTGATATTCACCTTTCAACACGAGGTATTTTTCAGGAACTCAGGTCCTATGCTTAATGGATTGGATGTCGACAGGGTAAGTTTTATTTAAAGTTGATTTTATGCACAAGCAAGCACTGCAGTTTTATATACCATTAATTAATTAATTATCATGATTTGACAATAGCTATTAAGACTCGGCACTCACTAACGGACGGGACGGAGGATTCTTAGATGACGAAAGGTAATATACGTTAAGGTTATGGAATTATAGTTAAAATTCCAATGATAATGCTCGTAGCTACAAAAACAAACTGCGGTATGCTTAGCAGCCTTGGAGATGCTTCGGCAGCCCTGAAGATGCTTCGGCAGCCTTCGGGATGCCTCGACAGGCTTTGGGACGCCGAGTACGACTATGCGTGTTGCGGAGTGAGGGGAGGCAGAGATCTGAAGAGAGGCCAGGCGCGAGCATGATTTCAGCTACTGAATCCTTCGGCATGCCTAAGGATGCTTTGGCATGTTTAAATTGTATCCCCTGTCGAGTCGTCCCGTCAGTGGGCGCCGTACCTAAGCGAGATTGACTAATTTGGCAGGCACTTTCTTCAATCATCTTGTTGTTAAATATCGTCTAAAAATCTTGTTGAAATTATCTTGTGTGCTTTTTTTCCTAGGGCAGCATGTTAAATGAGACATGCATTAATCTATACCATTTTCACAGCATATGGACTTCGGTTCCGTAACGATGCACTCGGATCTTCTGACTGACACTTGTCTAATGATGTCAGGCATGTTACTTGCTAAAGGACTTATAGACAAGCGAGGCAAACCTGAAAATCTGTTTACGAATTTATGGAAGCGATATGTAAGGTAAATACTTTAATTCTATGTTCTAAGAGTGCTAGCCGTGCAAGTGACTTGAACAGGGACTTGTACAGCTAGCACGACAGGGTGCGACTTGCTCAAGCGACATAAAGCGCGAGATACTCTATTGTTACATATAATGTTATTTCGGAATACAGATAGGTAACCCTGCAGTGACGCCATTGCGTCGCTGCTGCCACTACTAATTTTCATACAATATTTAGAATGTTGCAGACTAGATATTGTATGAAAATTCGTAGTGGCGCTTCTACAAGCGTCTAATTTAAAAGCGCCCTTATTAAAAAAAATTAAATATATCTATTAATTGACCTTTTCAGATTAATACCATCAATAGCCATAGTAGTATTTTACCTAAGTTCTGTGTCAATACACGCCGGCAGTGGCCCCATTTGGAACAGACTTGCTGGCCATGAAGCGAGAATGTGCCAGAAAAATGGCTGGCTCAATTTGTTGCTGTTGAATAATTATATTAATAGTGATGAAATGGTGAGTACCTAGCAGTAGTTCAAATATATTTGACTTTTTTATTAGAAATGAGTCAGTTCATAGCAATTGATTCTTATCAAGTACTTCATATCTTTACTTCTTGTCGCTCCCGGTTTCAAGCTTTCATCATTAATAATAATAATAATAACGCACACATTCAACATAGCCCCGCACTAGGGAAACCCAGTGTCGCGGGTGCCATGGACACACACATATAGACAACCACAAATTACACCCAAACTCACGAGAGAAATAAATGTAGGCCATACAAATATTTCTTCCGGCCCGAAAATCGAACCTGGAATCTATGCGTGGCAGTATAGCATGGCAACCGTTTGGCCACGAAGGCAGTCATAGCAAGTAGGGCAATACCCGCCTGTTAATGCCTACACTTCTCTCGGAGCCACGGACCAATAACTTAAGAGGCCTGCTGATCGCCATACTACCGATCGTACCTTCGTACCTCTGAAAAAAGTCAAAATTCCGTCTTAGGGTCGAAACACGAAACAGAAATGTAGATTTTTTTGTTTGTAGAACTCGCAGGACGCATCGCAACAATTTGAGAATTACTCCGCATCGCGCATTCCTGCGGGAATACGGGAACCGTGGCAGTGAGATGCCTTGCCGCAGGAAATCGCGTCGCGGCAATTCACGCCGCAGTTTTCTACGTTGCTTCGCAGTTTTGTGTTTCGACCCTTATATCTAGGCGGCGCTGATCGATAGCCTGGAAGCACTTTATATTACGTAAATAGCCGCGGATATCAATTGATTACTCTTTAATATGAAATATATTTATTTTATTTCCTTGTAATATTATTAAAATATTGATCGTGAGCTAAAATTATTTTCTAAACATTGTGTGTTAGAAACTCATTTATAAATTGCCACTTGCGAATATGGGTAGAGTGCGCTAATACCAAACGAAATAAAAGAATAGCCGGCACTATCCACAAAAATCTATGCAATAAGCGCCATCTAGTTGATTTGTTTGTTATCACTAGAAATTACAGTAGCTTTTATAAATTGCAAAAATAGCTACTTGGTACCCGTCGCGACATCTGGTATACCAATGGGGACTAAATACCGGATTACGTTGTTTTGTATCACAATTAGCAATCGAATTGAGTTATTGGTCCATGAACGGAGCTCCACTGAGTTTATATTACAACTGTAATAATATGTGGAATGGCAGTGATGGCGTTCGGTCATTCAATAACTAACGATCGGTGTCACCTTAAAACTACCACTAACTACTGTGCATATGTATCTTATTTTTTCTTTCGTTTAATGAGCAATTTAGTCTTCAAATTAAGTATATGTAATACACTATCGACGTGCCACCAATGAAGAGCAGAATACCAAAAGATTGCAAAGGCTGTTGAATAGCAACTCGATGAGCCACTTCTTATAACTTTTAGCAGAATACCAAACGACCGAAATCCTGATTTAAAATTGGCATACTCGGGGTTCTGATCACTAACAGCGTTTGCAAATTGACAACTCAACACTTATCAGTATAAGGGTCGTATTCTAGAACTCTACTCAATGCTTAAGTCAGGACTTGAGTATGATTCAAAGCACTAGAAATCATACTCAAGTCCCTGCCATTAGGGTCGTATTTCCAGTGCTTGTGTTGCCAGTGCAATCCTGACTTGAGCATTGAATAGAGTTCTAGAATACGACCCTTAGAGTGGTATGAAACAAAGAAACTTTTGACTTTAGCATCTTATATGTCTATTGGCATGCGCGTACACACATATATAATATCACGCTCATTCCCTCTCTAACACACACACACACACACACACACACACACACACACACACACACACAC